GAAATTATGTGAACTGAAGTCTGTGCGTCTGCAGGTGAGAACAAAGAGGAGGACAGCAGCATCATTCACTACGATGACAAAGCCATAGAGCGACTACTGGACAGGAACCAGGACGCCACCGACGACACGGAGCTGCAGAGCATGAATGAATACCTGAGCTCCTTCAAAGTGGCTCAGTATGTGGTGAAGGATGAGGAGGAGGAGGTGAGCGCCTGAGCCCATCAGGAGTGACCTTCATACACCCAGCCCCCCTTTTGTCCTTTTAACCACCTTCTTCCTTCTCGTCGCTCAGGAGGAGGAGGTGCAGCGGGAGATCATTAAGCAGGAGGAGAGCGTGGATCCAGACTACTGGGAGAAGCTGCTGCGTCACCATTACGAGCAGCAGCAGGAGGATCTGGCCCGAAACCTGGGCAAAGGCAAACGTATCCGCAAACAGGTCAACTACAACGACGGCTCTCAAGAAGACAGAGGTGAGAGGGCGTCTTCTTCTACTCTTACTTTTTAGAGTGTTTTATATGTATAAGATAAAATGGTCTAAGAACAGATTTAGTGTTTTGTGCTCAAAACGTTTGAGGTAAACGCTCGGGTGTATTAGAGTTCAGAGTTTTCAGTGAGGAGTTTCTCGTCTGCTGAGGGGGAAGCTTGAGTCTCTAATGATGTCGTTGGTCGCTTTACATAAGGAAGACGGGTTTTCGCTTCTCTTCATGGCTCAGTGAAAAAAAACACCTGATGAAAGGGATTTTGAACATTTAATGAAAAATAAAAACGGGAACATCCATCCTCCTGTGCTGCCTCCTCACATGCCCCTCCCCCTTTTCTCCTCCTCCTCACTTTTCACCTTCTTTTTTCACTTCCCCTTTCTTCCTCTCCATTTCCCCTTTTTCTTCTTCTTCTAACACACCTCCCCATTACCTATTTCTATGATGAGTTCCCCCCCTTGACTTCTCCTTTTTTTTTTAACCCAAGGTCAAAGGTGAACGTTTCTGAAAAACTTGTAGGATTTTCAAATTTATAACATCTACTAGGAGACTGATCACTGCCTCTCCCCAGGGTTTTGCTCTACTGCTTCTTTCTCCTTCCCACCTCCCTCATTTCTCCTGCTCCTCCCCCTTTGAATGGGGCGTCTGGTGAAGGGGAGCAGTGCTCAGAGAATCCCCAATTACCTGTGAGGAGGTGAAGAAGCGAGTTAGATGCATTAATGTCATAAAACAAATCCAAAATCCTGTAGTGAAAACATGTTTCAATGTTTCATTGAGGTTTGTATTCGTACTGAACTACAGTTACGATAAGAAAGTTTCAAGGTCCAGGTTAATTGTTTAAACACTGAATGCCAAATGAATGTTACCCTCCTATATCACGTAACTATCGTGGCTCAAGAGTTGGGCGTTCGTCTTGTAATTGGAAGGTTGCCGGTTCGAGCCCCGGCTTGGACAGTCTCGGTCGTTGTGT